GTGCAAGGAAACAAAACCATCCTTAAACACTGAAGCAGCTTGTACCGCGAGGTGTCAAGAGAACGAAATCACGGCCGCTAAGCCCCTTAAGTGTCAAAAGAACGATTGCTTGTCAAGAGAACGAAATCATCCCCCCCCAGCCCCCCCCACCCAGCCCCCAACCCCCCTAAAAACATTGCAGCAAGTTGTACCGCTTTCCCCTCGGAGCACGAAATTTGCGGCAAACGAAGGTGATGGAACCAGAAAGTAGAAGATTGACCCCCAGCCTCCACTGTCCACATCGAAGACCAGCCCTCGCGTGCCATCACCTAGCTGCAAGATGTTGCTGCATTGCTCACGCCGTTTGGCAGACAGTGAAGTTCTTTGCGGCTTGAAGCCTGCCCCTGTCTGCTGCATACAAAACATAGGCCAGCTGATAGAATGACAGGCTTTGCAACTTATCGCACTTATCGCCACCCGCTTCAGAGCCTTGCAAAAATCTCTCGAAAAGCCCGCGCCCCCCAAGGCTAAGTTGGAGTATCTTTCGCCGCGGTCCTCTGAACAATGGTGGCAAGACCACTGCAGGCACCCCATACCCCTTATACCCCTTGATGTTCCCACCCTGTTCCTGAAAAGTCCACGTGGCACAAGCCATTCGCTGTAAGGGGGGACTTACGGTTGATCCGGCGGGACAGTGAATATCCTATACCACCCTCATTCTTAGCGTTAGGTACATTGTACACGAAATTTGTCCTCCAAAAGCCGGAAACTGGTACCAGTCTCGAAGTTCTTTGGGGGCCTCGCAGACTTGACATCCTCAAGAACCAGGCTTAAGCTGCCCAAAAAAAGCTGCTTGCCACTTCAAGGCTGTGATTGCTGTTAATGCGTCAAGATGCGTCAAGCCTTGTTTACTTTTTCCCTGAGGCAAAGCCTTTGCTCACCATCTTCTTTTGAGCACCCTTTTTGAAACGGACCTTCTTTACCAAGAGGGCTTGAGTATCCAAAAACACCCAAGCTAGGGCCCTATTCTACTTACAGGATGGTAACTGCTAGCTTAGGTTTCTGATTGTAGCCGTTGAGGTTACCAAGCTCCTTTGATTATTGTTTGGTTGACTGTGAGAAACCACTCTTCAACCATCGCACGCAACGGAAAAGACGTCTTTTCCTGGATAGCTGGTACACCACCAGTCTCTGATTCTCATAGTATCTAAGCAGGAGATGGAATCACAAACAACACACGACCCACACCGGATGCTGTGCGCTGAAAACTCGGCTTAGATTCAAGATAAGGGAGCCATAGGACCCAACACCTTGAAGTCCCCTACGCCCACTCGAGCCCAGCACCTAAAACCCAAATCCGTGGCTGGCCGCGCCTTCCCGAGCGCCATGTCCCAGTTGCCAAGTTCGTTCCCTCTCAGGGCTCATAAAAACCCAAGATCGGTTCGTCGGCCTAGGGAATCCAACAAATGATCCCAAGCTCCTGTTGGATTGAAGGTTGACATTGTCGATTTAATGCTATGGGCTTTGATACCCAAGTGGTGCTGAAAACCACTTCTTCAGGTACATGTGTGTAAAGAAAAAACGCGAAAAAAGCCTGCATTCATGACTGACCTGGTTGCTCTCCGCCTAAACCACTCGCCACTCCATACGCTAAAGCAACAACACTAGACTCTCAAGGCATCCAGGCTGCGCCCCTTTCAAGCCAACGTCAGCTGCAAATTCTCCGAAAGCCAAAAAAAAGCTTGGGTACACAGACGGTCATTGTCTGAGCGCAGTTACAAGTAGCAGACTCCTGTGAGCCCCCAACCCACAAAGTCACTGGAAGTGTGAACGACATGCCTGGAGCACCCTCACCAGATTCCCCACTCCTCTCACACAGCATTTCATAGATCGATGCCTGGATCCAGCCGCGATACCTCACATTTCTGCGAATTGCCTCCGACCAGAATCAGATGATCAAAGTCCGGGTTGTTCAGACCACGAACAATGAATTTGTATTGAATCCTTAGCTTCCAGGCGCGAGTACATTCCGAGCTTCACTAACCAGAGACCCCAAGTTGATCCAATTGAGCCAAACCCTGCAAGCTTTCCCTGCAATATGACACGCTCTACAGACATGGCACCTCATGTACACTCATTTGGAATGACAGTACAGTGACTATGCTGCTGACATGGCTCGTGACCCCAAGGCGTTTCAGTTGCTGACATACAGAGGCCTTGTACCACGACATTGTCAAGTATCTGCTTTTGCTGCTGCCATGCTTTGCATGCATTGCCCCTGACATGCAGTGCAATGCTTCCGCAGTTATATACTGGTGCAAAGAGGCGCCCTCACTTGGCTCGAAGATTGTAAAAGTAACAATGGTTTTGCCCTTTGTTTGTGGAGGCCTCCTCAAACGTTTGATTCTTCCAGGATGGTTCCGAGAAGCCGAATTCGGAAGCATCCATGCCTGCTTAGACATAGTAACGTCCACTTACAACCACATCCAAACTTTCGAGTGTCGATGCCGGCCAAGACCTCAATAAAAAGCCCACGAGTTCGCAAGCATTCATGCCAGCCCTGATGCTTAACATCCCTTTACGGCTACAGCAAGAATCCATGCTCGCCCGAAACAGCCTGTCGGGCACGCAAGCTCTGGACCAGGTGTGGCATAAGGCATAAGTTGAAGCATCACATTCCTGAAAGCGCGCAGTTCTGCGCCTCTGGCATTCATCTGAACGCTCTGTACGCTGTATCCTGCGGGTCGTCTAAAACAAGCTGGTGAGCGCAGTGCATGCGCAAAGGAAGTGCAGCGTCCCGTATGACTATCGCGCATAATGCTGTCCCCCACAATGATGCGATCCAATGAAACAGGGCTGAACGCGGATTCTTTCGCAACACAGCCCCACAACATCTAGCTAATCGTTGCTACAATCCTTGACAGTCCTTACCAGTGCCGCCGCCTAGTTTATGTAGCGCTGCGCGGTCGCTAGTTTGGAGGAGGGCACTGCCTACACACAGCCGCTTCATTGCTGCAGACGTCTGCAATTAGCTGATCGAAAGACATCCCTGAGGCTGGTTCGGGATCTAGAGTTCTTGTGGGCTCTGCTGCAGGATCATGAAAGCAAAGCCTTGGCAAAGCTGTCATACTACTCCATGTTGGTCTTCACCCCTAGCAATCGCTCAGTACCCCTCTCCTGCAATAAAGCTTAAGAGGCTCTTACCCCGTAGCGTCCTTAGCAAAAAAAATCCGAATTCCCGCTTGGATTTGGAACATCTTGGCCGGGAAGTCTTCTGAACATGACGGCTGCTAGGACTACAACTACGTTTACGACTACGCCCACGACGACAAAGATGACGACTAACTCTAGTTCTGGTAGAGCCCCAGTACGCGTGCTGGTACTCATACTAGTACCAGGTACGGTCAGCGTATTTGATGGTAGGTTTTGCTTCACTTCAGGCTTGTGTTATGGTGGCTTAGTGCTCAGTCCAGACTTTTGGGGTGCGGCTGGCTGGTTTTTTCTTTATAGTTCTTCTGTCTTGAGGAGTGTGTTTTGCATTTGAAGGTTTCGTCTTACCATATGGCCAAGAGACACCCCATCATTAGTCCAAGGGTGTGCGGAGCTCTAA